AGGAGAAGGGGACGACAGAGGATGAGATGGTGGGACAGTGTTCTCGAAGCTACCAGCATGAGTTTGACCAAACTGTGGGAGGCAGTGGAAGACAGGAGTGCCCGGCGTGCTCCGGTCCATGGGGTCACAAAGAGTTGGACACGACTAAACGACTAAACAACAACAACAACAACATACTACAATGAGCATTTCTCCTGGTGCAACTTCTTGTTGATCATTCATCCATCCCACACTTTTCAGTGCATCTTGGCATCAGTTTCCTCACTCCAAGAAGCCCTTTTTGGGAACGGAGGGCTTGCTTGTTTAAAAGTGGATATATTTTGCTAAAGTGCTTCAATCCATTTTAATTGCACTAAGCTAAATTTTTGGTATGCACGTGACCCTGATGCCTGAGAGCCACAATGGCTAAAGGTGAACCTCAGTGGTCCTAAGCAGTGTATCTGAGGGCAGGTTGACACGCGCAAGCAGGATCCTAAATACAGTCCGCAGCTCCACAAGCCAAACAGCCAATTCAATGTTGCTTCTTTAAAGGCCTAAGAAACCCAAACAGCTGCTTGCAGGGGCATTCAGAGTTTCAAGGTGGTCCAAAGTTTTAACATGTGCAAGCGCTATTTGTGTATGCACAAGCATTATTTGCACATGCATAAGCGTTATTTCCAGTGCACATCCGGGTCAGATGAGGCCCGTGCACATGCGCACAAGCTATTTCCAGTGCTCCTCCGACCCAGAAGTGCGCTGGAAATAGCGTGTGCACACGTGTATGGGCACGCGCTCCCCTGCCCTCCGGCCCGCCGTGTGATTGGCGCTGGAGACACCGGCCCGAGGCATGTTAAGTTTGCTGACCCCTGGTGTAGATCTTTCTGGTGCCACCATAACTGAAGAGAATGCAAAAGGAGGGGGGGGGAGTACATCAAAACATAAGAGGCTGCTGGATCCGGCCAATGGCCCATCTAGTCTAGCATCCTGTTCTCAAATGCGACAGCTGCATGCCTGTAGGAAACTGCAAGCAGGATGCGACCACAAGCGCCCTCTCTCCTTCTGGGCTTTCCAGCGACTGGCCTTCGGAATCATTGCTGCCAACATGACTAGCAGCCTTTGAAAGCCTTTTCTCCTGTACCCTCCTCCTATGCAAATGAGTTCTATAGTTTAAGTACAGTGGTGCCCCGCAAGACGAATGCCTCGCAAGACGGAAAAACCGCTAGACGAAAGGGTTTTCCGTTTCGGAGTTGCTTCGCAGGACGAATTCCCCTATGGGCTTGCTTCGCAAGACGAAAATGTCTTGCGAGTCTTGAGATTTTTTTTTCGCTTCCCCCCCCCTTTATCTAATCTGCTAAGCCTTTAATAGCCTTTAATAGCCTTTTAGCAGCTAATCCCCTAAGCCTTTAAGCCTTTAATAGCCGCTAAACCGCTAATAGCGCTAATCCGTTAAGCTGCTAATAGGGTTGTTTCGCAAGACGAAAAAACTGCTAGACGAAGACTCTCGCGGAACGGATTAATTTCGTCTTGCGAGGCACCACTGTATGTACTTCGTGAAAAGGTAGTATAATAATAATAATAATAATAATAATAATTTATACCCCGCCCTTCCTGGTTCAAAAACCGGGCTCAGGGCGGCTAACAACAAATTTAAAACACTTAATTGTATTAACAATTCTGTCATAAGACAAACAAGCGGGACTGCAATGGCAAAAATTAAAATTTCCAATTTAACCAGGCGCCTGGGTTAAAAAAGCACAGAACACTTTCAAATAGATTAAATCACCAAAGGTTTTAGCAGCAGCTCCCATGTCATTTTTCACTTTACAGTATGCAGTTAGGCAGATTTGCCTCGGGTTTTCCTTTGGGGGGCAAATCCAAAGTCACTAGACAAAAAAATGTGAGATTGGTTCTGGCTGAGGGCAACGTCAATGAGAATGATGCCCAGGGGTCTTGGAATCAAATCACCTCTGCAACTTACGGTCAAGCCCAGTTTGGACAAGTCCCTCTGACTCCCAGCTGCCGGAAACTCCATTGCCTTTACGTCCTGCTTGTGGGAAGCGATGTGCTCTTTAAACAGTCATGGCTTCCCCCAGAGAATTCTGGGAGCTGTAGTTAGTTAAGGGCACTGAGGGTTGTTAGGAGACCTACAATTCCCAGAATTCCCTGGGAAGAGGGCTTGATTGTTAAACCACTCTGGGAATGGTAGCACCCGGCAGGGAATAGTAGGGACCCTAATTACTCTTAGGATGCAGGTGGCGCTGTGGGTTAAACCACACAGAGCCTAGGACTTGCTGGTCAGAAGGTCGGCGGTTCGAATCCCTGCAACGGGGTGAGCTCCCATTGCTCAGTCCCTACTCCTGCCAACCTAGCAGTTCGAAAGCACATCAAAGTGCAAGTAGATAAATAGGTACCACTCTGGTGGGAAGGTAAACGGTGTTTCCGTGCGCTGCGCTGGTTCACCAGAAGCGGCTTCGTCATGCTGGCCACATGACCCGGAAGCTGTACACTGTCTCCCTCGGCCAATAAAGCAAGATGAGCGCCGCAACCCCAGAGTCGGCCATGACTGGACCTAATGGTCAGGGGTCCCTTTACCTTCAATTACTCTTTAAGCACCTTTAACAAACTACAGCTCCCAGAATTCTTTGGGGTAGCCGCGGCTGTTCAAAGTGGTATCGTGGTACTTTAAATGCATGGTATGGCTTCAGCCAGAGCCGACAGGGCTGTTTTTATGGTCTTCCTTCTTAGGGGTCATTTGCAAGGTCGCAGGCCTTTATTCCAGATTAATGCAAAGATCAGATGCCTGCGACGCAGGAGAGGTCTCTTGGTGGCTACTAGCCATGATTACGCTTGTCATCTGACCGGCTCTTGGCCGGCACGCCGTCATTTCTCATGTCCAGGCTTCCTGCCATTTCACGCAATTAAAAAGAGAGCGAGAGATAAGTTACCAGCTGCGTTCAGAGCTGTTGCCATTTCTGGACAAAGGGACAGCGCCGATCTGTTGTAGGAGGGGAGAGGAGGTGCCGATTCCCAACATTTCTCCCCAAGGAGAGAAAAACAAAATCATCTGTTGTTGTAGGGTGGGGAGGCGAGTGCTCAGTGCCTTCTCACATTCTGCCTCAGCGCTGTGAAAGAAGTCCCTGGATGAAATCCAAATGCGCTCTTCACATTGTCACAGCGCTGGCTCTTTGGCAGGGAGGGAGAGCAGAGTAAGACCGTAGCTCAGGAGGAAAGGCTTTGCAAGCAGAACATCTCCTTCCTGCCCTCCCATTCCCTTCCTGGTACTGCTGCTTAAAAAAAGAGTTCAGGTAAGAAGACAGGGAGCCATTGCCAGCCGGAGTTGACAGCACACCAAGCTCGTTTTTGTTTGGGACCTTTATAACAATAAAGAAAAAATAAATTTTTATTTATACCCTGCCCTTCCTGGTTCAGAAAACCGGGCTCAGGGCAGCTAACAACAAATTTAAATTGATGCAACAAAAAACAGCATAAAACGTGAATAGCAATCATTTCAGAATTCAAAAATCAATTTAGGGGGGAAATCCATCCAATAAACATTAGATGATCACCAGGGCTAGCTGGCTAAATTAGTCCTATTTGGGCCAGCGGGGAGACCAGGGGAGAATTAGCTGTGGGATCCCAGAGCTGGTAATCTTCATAAAAAGGGGAGGGCGAGGGAAGGAAGGGGAATAAAAGATTCGGCTAAGTTCAAGTTGAAAGCCAGGCGGAATAGCTCTGTCTTACAGGCCCTGCGGAAGGAAGTTAAATTCTTCAGTACCCTGGTCTCATGGGACAGAGCATTCCACCAGGTGGGAGCCATCACTGAGAAGGCTCTGGCCCTGGTGGAGGATAGTCTGACTTCCTTAGGGCCTGGGACCTCTAAACTATGATCACTGCCTTCCCACCACACGGACGAAATAAAGGCAGCTTTTAATGAATCAAATCACAACAAGGGAAATAAGGGGAGATAGGCGTAGCTTAGTGCGGCATTCAACAACCTGGTGCCCTCCAGCTGTTTTGGACTACAGCCCCAGCCAGCAGAGTGGATTCCCATGTACCTCCCACACCCAGGAGATTCCATTCTTCCTGACTTTTGCATTGTAGGAGGGTTGGACTACATGACCCTCAGAACCCTTTCCAACTCTACAGTTCTGTGACTCTGTGACTTGACCGGTGTTCTGATCCCACTGGAAAACTTGTCTTTCTTGTTTCCAGGCTCGTCCTCACGTCCACCCATCCCATACCTAGAAAGCATGGGTCCAAGCAGCTTTGCTTTCTCCTGGAAAGCCCATTCTTTGGCACTAAACGGTAAAGGTAAAGGGACCCCTGACCATTAGGTCCAGTCGTGACCAACTCTGGGGTTGCGGCGCTCAGCTCACTTTATTGGCCGAGGGAGCCGGCGTACAGCTTCCGGGTCATGTGGCCAGCATGACTAAGCCGCTTCTGGCAAACCAGAGCAGCGCACGGAAACGCCGTTTACCTTCCCGCCGGAGTGGTACCTATTTATCTACTTGCACTTTGACGTGCTTTCGAACTGCTAGGTTGGCAGGAGCAGGGACCGGGCAACGGGAGCTCACCCCGTCGCGGGGATTCGAACCACCGACCTTCTGATCGGCAAGTCGTAGTCTCTATGGTTTAACCCAGAGTGCCACCCGCGTCCCTCTTTAGCACTAAATCAGAGCAAATGTCAATCTGGATAAAACATAGTTGCTGTGATTCAGCAGTAAATAGTGGGTTTACCCTGGGGGAAAGTGCCAGGGCAAGAGGAATTGTGGATGAACCCAGAAACTTGACCCTGCCTTGTTAGTCCATCCCCCCCCCAACTGAGGTTTTTGGACAGAGGTTGGGTGGCAGCCTAGGAGGGATTCTTTAGCTGTGGTTCCTTCATTGCTGAGGGTTGGTATGGATGACCTTTGGGGGTCCCTCTCAATTGTACACTTTGATCCTTCTCTGACATCCAAAAGCCCCTCCGAGCCCCTTGCTGTTCCACAGCAGCTCCCATCTGCTTATCAATCCCAGGAGGCGCAGGAACTTGGCGACTTGACATCAGGGCCGGTCGCTTGGTGGAGTTTCCGACACAGGATGGAGGAAACAAAGGATGGCTGGCGTAAAGGAAAAGCCGCCTTCCTGGGGCAGGAGCAGAGCGGGGATGAGGCATGGAGCACGAAGCAAAGAAAGGCAAGAAGGTGAGTGCAGGGGGGGAGAACGCCGTATGGGGGTGCTTTTCTGTGAGTGGGTGTTGGGTGCTTTATGGGGTGAAGGGACGACACACATCAGTTTCCACCTCTCCAACCTGACCTGATGAGGAAGGCTGAGTTGTGTTTCTGGGTGCAAAACAGATCCTTGGATCTCTTAAGGGAGCCGGCAACAGCCAAGTGTATAGTCCAGGTTATGGGTAGGCAATTAAGGCCCAGGGGCCAGATTCGGCCCAATCGCCTTCTCAATCCCGCCCGCGGACAGTCCGGGAATCAGCATGTTTTTACATGAGTAGAATGTGTCCTTTTATTTCAAATGCATCTCTGGGTTATTTGTGGGGCATAGGAATTTGTGCATTTCCCCCCCAAAAAATAGAATCTGGCCCCCCACAAGGTCTGAGGAACAGTGGACCGGCCCCCTGCTGAAAAAGTTTGCTGCCCCCCCAGTCCAGGTGTTTCAGACTAAAACTCCCATGTGTTGTAGTCCAAAACATCCGTCAGGCACCAGTCTGGCATGGGCTGTGTAAGGTGTTCGGGGAACCCCAACTGCCCTATGCAAACGCCACACAGCATTTTTCCTAAGCCACAAAAAGGATTCGGCCCTTAGAAAGGGGGAGGAGCCAGCAAACAGTGGTGCCTCCACTGTCAGCATGCCATGAAACGAGACAGCCGTGCACCGCAGAATCTATTTTGGAACAGCCGTTTCCATCACTGTTTTCTGCCTGTCCCCAGCCCCATGTTGCTATCCGGCGACTCCCAGAGCTTTGATTGAGCTGGCCCCAGAATTCCATCCTACAAGTTGTGTGCCAGGGTTTGCAAAAATAAGTGCAATGCGTCAGAGCAAACAGAGTAATTACCTGTGACTTTAATCAGGGGTGTAGGAGGGGGGACGGAGGGGGCAGGGCAGCCTGGGTGCCCCTCCAGGGGGTGACAAGACGGCCTCTGCCTTCCCCCAGCTGTAGAGCGGCCGAGGGTGTGCACAGTCCATATGGGCGTCCGTACAGGCTACCGTGCGTGCGCACTCCATACGGGATGCCGCACATGCGCAGTCCGTACAGGATGATGCTCATGGTTGCCGTGTAAGCGGCAGCCCGTACAGAAGCTGCGCGTGAGCGGCATCCCATATGGAGTGTGCATGTGCGGCATTCCCTACGGACTGCGCATATGCAGTATTCCACATGGAGTGCACATGCATGGGGTGCTGCACATGCGCAGTCTGTATGGGATGCCGCACATGCAGGCCCAGGCAGAGGGGGGGCCATATGGGCTACTTGGCCCAGGCCTCCAATTCCAAAAGGGGCCTCGGTCAGCATATTCGCAATCGCAGGGGATGCACTGGGGCGAACGCGGAGGCGCAAAGGCGGTGGTGGGTGGATTCCCTGGGGCCATGGCTGGCAGCGCAAGGGAAAAGCTTCCCTGGCGTATAAGACTTCAGTTATCCCCAGGGTAAAAAAAGGGGGGGTACCTGGCCCGGGCCTCTGCCTGGCTCTGCAAGGCCCTGCGCACATGCGCACTCCATACGACACGCTCCCGCCCCAGGTGCCAGAGAGGGTTCCTCCGCCACTGACTTTAATCAATCTTGGGTTAGGTGGCCGGTCTCTGCCGCTGTTGTTTGTGCCCAGCATATTCACATTTTATTTTTTTAAAAAAATATTTTTTTATTAAATTTTCAGTAAAAAATTAAACAGAAAAACAGAAAAAGAATTACACAAATACACATAAAAAAGAAATACACAAATACACAGTACATAATCCAAAGAGAAAAAGAAAAAAAAGAAAAAAAAAGAAACAGCACAATTAAAAACAATCACCTTTTCATTTCCGTGTTTAAATTTACTTATTTTCTGGACCTCCTCATACCTCCCTCTTTTGTATTCCAGTCCAAATTGTTTGTCCAGCAATTTCTTTTCCACTTTTTTTAATCCCAATCTTTAATCTTTAATATAATATAGCATTAAAATTTTACCTCTTAAAATACCAAATTTCCATTTCCTTACACTTCTTTAATCCTAATCCTTAATCTTGATCTATCTATAACTTTAAATCCTGTACAGCTGGAAACCACTTATTTTCCATCCAACATCACTCCAGCATTCTTTAATTTTGTAGTGTTTCTGTAGATAGTCTTTGAATTTCTTCCAATCCTCCTCCACCGACTCTTCTCCCTGGTGCATATTCACATTTTAGAAACAAACTGTTACACATCAGAATGTAGGACGCTGCCTTGGACTGAATCAGATCATTGGGCCATCTCTCCCAGTACTGCTCACACGGGCTGGCAGCAGGTTTTCAGGGCTGCAGACAGCCTATATTCCCAGCCCGGCCTTGGGAAGTAATAGTCCTACTCTATTTTTCCTTGGTCAGACCACACCTGGAGTCCTGTATCCAGTTCTGGGCACCACAATTTAAGAGGGATATTGACAAGCTGGAAGGCGTGCAGAGGATGAAACCAAGCCTGATGAGGAATGGTTGAGGGAGTTGTGTATGTTTAGCCTGGGAAAGAGGAGGCTGAGAGGAGACAGGATAACCATCTTTAAGTATCTGAAGGGCTGTCACACAGAAGATGGAGCAAAGTAGCTTTCTCCTGGTCCAGATGTGGGCACCCGAACCAATGGCTTCAAGTTACAAGAAAGGAGATTCCGACCAAACCTGAGGAAGACCTTTCTGATGGAAAGAACTGTTCAGCAGTGGAACAGACTTTCTTGCTCTCGCCTTAAAAACTGGAGGTTTTTAAACAGAGGTGTGGGGGGGGGGGGAATCTGTGAAGGAGTTGAAAGGAGAGAGAGAGAGAGAGAGAGAGAGAGAGAGAGAGAGAGAGAGATGGGGGTTATGTTCTTACGTTTTATTGCATAGTGTTTGTGCAGGTAATTCTATGAACCAGGATTCAGCCACAGACTGCTTCAGAATCACCTGAAAGCTGTTCACACCTCTTGCTTACCTGGCACTGACAGTCTCACTTTGTCACTCACCGCAATTGAGATGCCTTCAAGGTAGAGGAGCGCTGGAAGGGGTGGGCAGATGTGCTCTCTGCACATGATCAGAGGAACTCCCCAAATAAAAATAATTAATAATTTTTTATTTATACCCCGCCCTTCCCAGTTCAGAAAACTGGGCTCCGGGCAGCTAACAACAAATTTTGTCGTTTAGTCATGTCCGACTCTTCATGACCCCCTGGACCAGAGCACGCCAGGCACTCCTGTCTTCCACTGTCTCCCACACTTTGGTCAAACTCATGCTGGTAGCTTCGAGAACACTGTCTGAAATATACTCAGAGTCGCAAAGTGATTTCATGCTCTTTATTCAGCTCATAGTGGTGAGGAGGAATGAATGAATGTCCCCTCAAAGTATCTGCTTTATATACATTATTTACACAATGGGCTGCACATGATTGGCTAATTCCGGAATTCTACTGTAAGCCAATCAGGTTGTGGATTCACTTCTATCTGGAGCATGATTGGGTGGTTCCTGCCAACCAATCATACTGCTGCATTGTTCTAGGACCAATCAGACTGCTGCATTCTGAATCGTATTGTTCTAGGACCAATCAGACTGCTGCAGTTTGGATCCTATTCAACTCAGTACATAACACTGTCCAACCATCTGGTCCTCTGTCCACCCCTTCTCCTTGTGCCCTCCATCTTTCCCAACATCAGGGTCTTTTCCAGGGAGTCTTCTCTTCTCATGAGGTGGCCAAAATCTTGGAGCCTCAGCTTCAGGATCTGTCCTTCCAGTGAGCGCTCAGGGCTGATTTCCTCCAGAATGGAGAGGTTTGATCTTCTTGCAGTCCGTGGGACTCTCAAGAGTCTCCTCCAGCACCAGAATTCAAAAGCATCCATTCTTCGGCGATCAGCCTTCTTTATGGTCCAGCTCTCACTTCCATACATCACTACTGGGAAAACCATAGCTTTAATTATACTGACCTTTGTCGGCAAGGTAGTGTCTCTGCTTTTTAAGATGCTGTCTAGGTTTGTCATTGCTTTTCTAAAACACTTAATTGATGCAACAAAAAACAGCATAAAATACAGTATAAAACATGAATAACAATAAATTCAGAATTCAAAAATCAGTTGGGGGGGGGATCCATCCAATAAACAGTAGATGATCACCAGGGCTAGCTGGCTAAATTAGTCCTACTTGGGCCAGCAAGGAGACCAGGGGAGAATTAGCTGTGGGATCCCAGAGCAGGTGATCTTCATAATAAGGGGAGGGGGAGGGAACTGAGGCGAATGGGCATTGAACTCGCCCAGCAAGTCCCAGGACTCAGCCCAGGCTTATCTTGAGCCTTGCACAATCTTTTCAAGAGAAGCGAATGTGTTTGCCGTTCTTGGTTTAGCTTTGGGAATTGGGGGCGGGGGGGGGGCGGGCAATGATGTCTTCTCCCCTGCCCTGCCCACATCCTGAGCAGATGGCCCTGGCTGGCTTTTCCCCACCCTGTCACAGATCCAGCAACATCTGAAGCCACTGGGGATACATTTCCCCTCCAGCTGCCCAAGGGGAAGCCCAGCTGTCAGCCTGGGCTCCTGGCCGAAAAAACAGCAGCAGCCGATCCCGAGACCAGCATGTTAAATTGGTTTGCTTGGGCATCGCCCATGGGGCAAAGAGAAGGCAGTTATTGGGTGCCGGAAGCAGGTGGTCCCAATGTCACCCCCTGCTTCCACTCTAACTGTCTAGAGCAGGAGTCCCCAAACTAAGGCCCACGGGCCAGATAAGGCCCGAGGGACTTGTTTATCCGGCCCACGGCGACCCCCGCCGCCCGCTCTTACCCACGCTGTGCGACTGCCCACTTCTGGGTCGGAGGAGCACCAGAAATTACTTGTGCACATGTGCAAGCGTTATTTGTGCGAGCACAAGCATTATTTGCGGTGCACATCTGGGTCAGAGGAGGTCCATGCACATGCGCACAAGCTATTTCTGGTACTCCTCCACCCCAGAAGTACGCTAGAAATAGTGTATGCGCACGCGTATGGGCATGCGCTTCCCCTGCCCTCTGGCCCGCTGCGTGATCGGCGCTGGAGACACCGGCCTGAGGCGCGGGAAGTTTGCTGACCCCTGGTTTAGAGACCTCCTGATCCGTCATAAGGTTTTCCAGTTCAAGCCCCACAGAAGTGAACGGGAGCTGCAAAAGATCCCACATCAGTGAGATTTTTGCACAGGGAAATTTCCCCAGGGGTGTGTGTCATATCTGCAAACCCCTGCACCTGAAGGATCCATCCACCTCACTTTGTGGCCAGGTGACCTGTTGATGGAGAATTCATCCTGATTTGTTTGCAGGGAGTTTGGGTAACACCGACTGTTTAATGAACAGCATTGCGATTTGTTCGCGATGACTATCTTAATGAGGTAGTTCCCAAACTTTTTTGAGCTGCCTCCCCCTTGGCTCCATAAATGTCGTGGACCCCGGTGCCCCCTATCCTATAGAAAGCATCATCCAGAATAGTGGTTTGCATGTTATAATAATAATAATTTATTATTTATACCCCACCCATTTGGCTGGGTTTCCCCAACCACTCTGGGCGGCTTCCAACAAAGTATTAAAATACAGTTGTCTGTCAAACATTAAAAGCTTCCCTAAACAGGGCTGCCTTCAGATGTCTTCTAAAAGTCTGGTAGTAGCTGTTCTCTTTCACACCTGATGGGAGGGCATTCCACAGGGCGGGGGCCACTACTGAGAAGGCCCTCTGCCTGGTTCCCTGTAACCTCACTTCTTACAATGAGGGAACTGCCAGAAGGCCCTCGGCGCTGGACCTCAGTGTCCGGGCAGAATGATGGGGGTGGAGACGCTCCTTCAGGTATACTGGACCGAGTCCTTTTAGGGCTTTAAAGGTCAGCACCAACACTTTGAATTGTGCTTGGAAATGTACTGGGAGCCAATGCAGATCTCTCAGGACCGGTGTTATGTGGTCTCGGCGGCCGCTCCCAGTCACCAGTCTAGCTGCCACATTCTGGATTAGTTGTTGTTTCCGGGTCACCTTCAAAGGTAGCCCCGCTAAGGAAGATAACAACACAGTAAAATTCAAAGCAGTGACAATTAATTGCACAAAATCTAATTAAAATAATTCAATTCAATTAAAACTGATGATTTCGAAGTCTGATAGGCATTGACCTCTCATGCCCCCTGCCTCTTAGTGTCCCCTACTGCCCCCCCAGGAGTCGCTACTACCCACCTGAGGAAACCACGGGCTCTTTTTAAGGAAAGGCCTGGTGCTGTGATGCTTTTATGATGATCTGTATGTTTCAATAGATTATAGATAAATTCTATTGATGTTTAATCGGTGCCTGGAAAGCATGGGGCGAAAGGTCAATGTGGATGAGCCCTTAACGTGTGGAACTGGATGAGATTAGCTGGAAACTGAGGCAAAACCTCTGGAGAGAGGAAGGGGCTACCTAGTTGCTTTCTGGGAATGTGAGAGAAGGGTCTGTGTGGGGTGACAGAGGCTGGGTTTCCTCGCCCGATATCCTTCCTTCCTGTTGATTGCTGTAGCAGGAGCAAAGATAAATAATGCAAAATAGCAATGATATGCAAATTGCATTCAATTAGGCTGCAGGCTTTTTATTTCCTTGATACAGAACTTAATTTGGCCTTCTGGCAGAGAGCGCGCTCGGAGCCATCTGCATTGATCACGGAGTCCGGACGAAGCCATGGAATCATAGCATTGTAGGGTTGGGAGGGACTCCCAAAGGTCATCTATTCCAACCCCCTGCAGTGCAGGAATTTCAGCTAAAGCATCCCTGACAGATGGCCATCCAACCTCTGCTTGAAAACCTCCACCACCTTCAGAGGAAATCCGCTCCACAGTCCACGGTCAAACCGCTCCTAGTGTCAGAAAGTTATTATTAATGTATAGTCGGAATCTCCTTTCTCGTCATTTGAATCCATTGATTTAAGCCTTACTGTGCTGGTCCCGTGGGTCAACCGAGAGGCGAGGTCCAAGTCCAGTCCGAGGTCAAAGGAGCAATATGGAGGCAGTCCGTAAAAGCTGAAGCTGGGTGCAGGGCAGGGAGTCTGGTGAGGTCAGAAGCGATGGCAGGAGAGCAGGACAGGGTTCAGGCAGGAACTGGCAACCTACAAAGTTGCTCCCGCAACTAGGGACTGGGGCTGGCTGGCTTTTATCTGCCCTGAGGCATAGGGCAGCCCCGATCCTCAGGTGACTCGCCTCTCCTGACCTGGAGGTGAGCACTCCTCCTGCGAGAACTTAGTTCCCTCCGCCTCTCTGCCCTGAGCCTCTGCAGCTCAGGAGAGGCTGGAGGGTTATCAGACCCAGAGGCAACCTCAGCCTCCCCTGACGGGGCTGAGAGTGGAGCACCTGCAGGCAATGGGTCCTCCATCACCTCCGGAGCCAGAGCAGACTCAGCTGATGCCTGCACCTGAGGACCCAGCACAGGTGAGGACCCTTCAGGCTCATGCCCCAGCCCCGGCTCAGCTGGTTCTGGAGGAGGGGAATCCTGCACAGGCTGGGATTCCTCAGGTTCAGCATCCGAGTCCGAATCCCAGGCCATGACACTTACCTTCTGCAGCAGCAGCAGAAAACAAGCTTGCCCTATTTTCCATCTGATTGCCCTTCAAATATTTGAAGACGGCTACATCTCCTCTTCTCCAGGCTAGCCATACCCAGCTCCTTCAACCGTTCCTCATCAGGCTTGGTTTCCAGACCCTTGATCATCTCGGTCTCCCTCCTCTGCACACCTTCCAGCTTGATCTAGACCAGGGTTCCCCAAACATGGGTCTCCAACTGTTTTGGGACTACAGTTCCCATCACCCCTGGTCCACTGGTCCTGCTAACTAGGGGTGATGGGAGTTGTAGTTGAACAACAGCTGGAGACCCAAGTTTGGGGAATCCTGGACTTCTGTTTATGCAGCCTAGGATTGCATTGGCTTATTTTGCTGCTGCATCGCACTGTTGGCTCAAGTTTGCAACGAGGGCATCTGCCAGCATCTGGGCCGCCTGCAGCCAGTTCTCCATCACCCTCCTGTTGCGACTTTACTGACGGGGCCTCTGCTTCTGCCTGCTTCCCCAACAGGGCTTCGTGTCACCGATCAAGAGGCTCGTCTTCCCAAAGGCAGCCCGAAGGCAGGCCCTCAAGAGCAGCCTCTGCCGCCGCCCTCTTCACTCTGTCCCACTCTACCCTCCGGACTATCTCATCGACCCTCAGATCCTCCTGCACGACTACGTGGAAAAGGAAGTGAAGGTGAGGGTGCCCAAGGGGCAGAGTGCGGAACTTGCTGGTGTCAGCGCAGCAACTGAGGACCATGTGATACATTTTCTGCCAGTGTGGATTTTGAGCGGAGGGTTTTCCCCTTGGTTCTGCATTTGTGAGAACTCAAGCTTTAAGTGTGCTATACCTTATGTTCCTATGCAATTAAAACTTCCATACTATTTGACAGCCTAAACGTCCCAAAATGACGCAAAGTGTGTTCTGGATCTGTGTAATATATAATAATAATAATAATAATAATAATTTATTACTTATACCCCCCACTCTGGGCGGCTTTCAACAAAATATTAAAATACAGTAACGCATCAAACATTAAAAGCTTCCCTAAACAGGGCTGCCTTCAGATGTCTTTTAAAAGTCTGGTAGTTGTTTTTCTCTTTTACACCTGGTGGGAGGGTGTTCCACAGGGCGGGTGCCACTACCAAGAAGGCCCTCTGCCTGGTTCCCTGTAACTTGGCTTCTCGCAGTGAGGGAACCGCCAGAAGACACCCAGAAGTGGACCTCAGTGTCCGGGCAGAACGATGGAGGTGGAGACGCTCCTTCAGGTATACTGGACCGAGGCCGTTTAGGGCTTTAAAGGTCAGCACCAACACTTTGAATTGTGCTGGGAAACGTACTGGGAGCCAATGTAGGTCTTTCAATCTGTCCTCCTCACCACAGATCCATCCAGACAGATCCCTCTGCTTTCAGCATGGAACCATCACTTAGGAGATTCCTGCCTTAGCCTTGTCCCACTTTATCGTGGCTTCTTATCTCTTTATCTCCAGTTTTTAGGTCACCTGACTTGGGTAACGACTTCCTTGAACCCCTCCAGCCGCGACGAGCTGTTGCAGCTACTGGACACCGCAAGGGTAACCTTCCAATGTACTTCAGTGCACTTTGGTGTTGTTCAATTAACAGTCCTATGCTTGAAACGGAAACTTGGGAGCATGCAAAGGGATGCAGAGGTGCTGAAGAGACTTGCGACGGGCGCCACTAGGGAGAACCACTAGGATGAAGAAGTTATGTCGACATGTCTTGGCTGCCAAAATAACTTGGCCGCTTGGGATTCTATATATCCCAGGTGCTCCAGCCCAGGTGACAAAGCCTCTTGGGCCAATCCTTCTAATCCCTTTCTGAAGCTACCTGTCTGATGGTCATCATCAGCACAACATAAGCATGTATGTTTAGGCTCAGAGACTATACTGCGTTTCGCTGTGGTGTGTGGCTTGGCTGACTTGCCTGAGTTATCTGAGTCAATTTCATAGAAGTGTGGAGTTGGGAGGAACCCCAAGGCTCATCTAGTCTAACCCCCTGTGCTTTTCTGCATTGATGGGATGGCCTCATAGTCCAGTTTCCCCCAACGTGGAGTCCTCCAGGGGCTGATGGGAGTTGTGGTCCAGAGCAGCTGGCCTGGAGGACTACAGCTTGGGGAAGTCTTTCCCAGGGATGCAAAACTGGGCACCATTTAACGGGTTCCCACCTCCTTTTTGCTCCACCTTTCCTGCAGCAACTGAAGGAGCTTCCTCTGAAGACAACCCCAGAGCAGGATAGCATCTTGAGCCTTTCGGCCCGCTGCCTGCTTCTTACCTGGAGGGACAACGAGGAACTCATCCTGAGGATCCCCACCCACGAAATTGCAGCCGCCTCCTACCTGCGGGACGATGCCCTGCACCTCCTGGTGCTCAAAACAGGTGTGGGTCGGTTCAGGTAACCTGGAGGATTCCCGACTACAGAATTCCCACCTGGTTGAAAATGGATCAGGCCACTTCCAAGCCATGGGCCTCAGGGCAGAATGCGTGTTTCTGCCTGGGCTGGCTCAGTTGGTACACACAATTTGCAATATCTTTCCCCTTTTCTCTTGCAATACAGTGGTACCTCGGGTTACATACACTTCAGGTTACAGATGCTTCAGGTTACAGACTCCGCTAACCCAGAAATAGTGCTTCAGGTTAAGAACTTTGCTTCAGGATGAGAACAGAAATTGTGTTCTGGCAGCACAGCAGCAGCAGGAGGCCCCATTAGCTAAAGTGGTGCTTCAGGTTAAGAACAGTTTCAGGTTAAGAACGAACCTCTGGAACGAATTAAGTACTTAACCTGAGGTACCACTGTAATTTTTTTTTTATACACTATATAAATTTTTATTTTAAAAAATTAACATATCAGTTCCAACAGTCATACAACATAACTTCTCATCTTATACAGTATTTTGGACTTCCATCAACACCTCTGATGATTTTCTGTTTTTATCACTTATTCCGCATTTCTTACTTTCTGTAATACATATAATTATCCTTAACTAATAGTTCTCTTCATAGTCTTTCTTGCAATATTTCAAATAATCCACCTTACAAAACTTCTTTTCTCTTGCAATAATTTTTATTGGGGTTTTTTATGGAATTGATACAAAGAACTACCAAGAACAAGTCAAAACATTTCCCTCTAATTTCTCCTGAGTTCAGGTGTTCGGCCAGGATAACCGACTCTCCTCGGCTGTAATGTGTGAATGCTCAGGATTTGCTCACCTGGTTACTTATAGCAGCATGGGTCTTCCATTCCCAAAACACAACCTTATTTTGCAACGAGTTGTTGCCAACTTGAGAGCAAATGAGCATTGCTATCTCTCAGCCTAACCTGCTTCACAAGGTTGTTCTGAGGTTAGACCAAGAGAAATCCATTCACTATTATCCTGACAGGTTAGAGATAAGCAAATATAGCCTCTTCTCCATTGGAGTTCCCTAAGCACCACCGCTTGTCGTGCATAAAATCAGAAAATTGCAGAGGCGGAAGGGACCCAGAGGGTCATCTAGATCAACCCCCCTGCAATGAAGAAAAACTTAAAAACCTCTGCTTAAAAACTTCCAGAGGAAAGAGAGTCCACCACCTTCCGAGGGAGTCTGTGTTAGAGTTGTTCCCTGATCTGGACCTTGCGTACGAATGGTGTGTCTCCACTGCAGTAAAGGGCTTCAGTGTTTTACTGCGGTTCAATAAACTTTCCCAAAGGGAGATTCCAAGCTTGTTCTTCCTTGCAGAACTTCTCTGCAATGAGCTGCTGCTGCTGCTACAGTAGAACCTCAGTTTTCAAACGTAATCTATTCCGGAAGACCGTTCGACATCTGAAATGTTCAAAAACCGAGGCACAAAGGGCTGTTGGCAAATTCAATCGAGAAAACCGGAAAACACACAGCGGAATCCGTTCGACTTCCAAGGCGCGTTCGGAAGTGGAAGCATTTCCTTCCGGGTTTTCGGCATTCGGGTTCTGAAACGTTCGTCAACTGAGACGTTTGAGAACCGAGGCTCCACTGTGCTAGGTGTCATGGACTGGCTGGACACAGGGGAGGAGTGGAAGGCAGAAGCTGGGGAGCCATGGGGTTGGTGGTGGGATGGTGATGAGTGATCAAAGGGAGAAGCGGGAGAAGACTGAGAGGAGGAGAAAGTTTCAGCAGCATTTAGTGAGCTTTTCTTGGACACTGTACTTCTGCAGATGCTGCCTAGAATTGTTGTTGCTGTTTAGTCGTTTAGTCGTGTCCGACTCTTCGTGACCCCCTGGACCAGAGCACGCCAGGCACTCCTGTCTTCCGTTGCCTCCCGCAGTTTGGTCAAACTCATGCTGATAGCTTTGAGAACACAGTCCCACCATCTCGTCCTCTGTCGTCCCCTTCTCCTTGGGCCCTCCATCTTTCCCAACATCAGGGTCTTTTCCAGGGAGTCTTCTCTTCTCATGAGGTGGCCAAAGTCTTGGAGCCTCAGCTTCAGGATCTGTCCTTCCAGTGAGCACTCAGGGCTGATTTCCTTCAGAACAGATAGGTTTTGTTATGTACTGAGTTGAATAGGATCCAAAATGCAGCAGTCTGATTCGTCCTAGAACAATAGGATCCAAAATGCAGCAGTCTGATTGGTCCTAGAAAAATAAGATTTAGAATGCAGCAGTCTGATTGGTCCTAGAACAATGCAGCAGTATGATTGGTCCGCAGGAGCCACCCAATCCAGCTCCAGGTGGAAGTGAATCCACAACCTGATTGGCCTACAGGAGAATCCCAGAATTAGCCAGTCACGTGCAGCCCATTGTGTAAATAATGTATATAAAGTAGATATTTTGGGGGAACATTCATTCCTCACTACTATGAGCTGAATAAAGAGCATGAAATCCACACTTGACTCCGAGTATATTTCAGGTTTGATCTTCTTGCAGTCCGTGGGACTCTCAAGAGTCTCCTCCAGCACCATAATTCAAAAGCATCAATTCTTCGGCAATCAGCCTTGGTCCAGCTCATGGGCCTTTTTTGCTGCTGCATCACAGTGTTGGCTCAGGTTAAGGTTGTGTTGTTGTTCTTATTATTCCCAGGCTTGGGAGTGGACCCGGTCCCTGCAGGAGGTAGCTTGGATGTTTACCCTGGAAGCACCCACGAGAAGAAATTCGCCGGAGGGCCAGCTGAGAAGAGACCGGCAGAACCCCGGCACCTGGGGGGCACGATGGAGCGACGCCACACCATCTGCAGCCTGGACTGGAAGATGGCCCGGGGCGGACCAGAGGGCAGGCCCAGCGGAGGGGGCAGCCTGGAGCGGAAGCAGGGCACGGGCAGCTGGGAGAAGAGGCAGGGTCCCGCAGGCGGCAGGCCCTTTGGGAGCTGGGAGCGCAGGCAGACCTACAGCGGCAGCTGGGAGCGCCGCCCCACGGGCAAAGCTGGGGGCAGCTGGGAGAGGAGGCGGCAGGCCTACAGCGGAAGCTGGGAAAGGGGCAAGACCTGGGGCAGCTGGGAGCGCCGGTGGCACACCGGGAACAACCCCCTGGACCCCAAAGAGCCCAGCCCCGAAGCCTACTGCAATCTCATCATCCTGGCTGTGGCTAACAGGGTGAGCAACCTGAAGCCCGGTCTTGTCCTCCCTTCAAAATAGACAATCTCTCTCTCTTTCATATTTTTAAAAGCTTTTTTTATGAATCAACAAGATAAAAAAAAGATCTGTATAAAAACAAAAGCAGAAAAAGAAGGGGGGAGCATGTATATGAAAACAAAAAAGGAGAAGAAAAAGAAAAAGGCAGCCCTAGATAGGGAAGTTTTTAAATGTTTTATTATGTTTTTATATATGTTAGAAGCCACCCATAGTGGCTAGGGCAGTCCAGTCAGGTGGGTGGGATAATAATAATAATAATAATAATAATAATAATAATGGAATAGGACATCCCTATTTTCATCGGAAGGGATGTGGGTGGCGCTGTGGGTTAAACCTAGGGCTTGCCGATCAGAAGGTTGGCGGTTCAAATCCCCGCGACGGGGTGAGCTCCCGTTGCTCGGTCCCAGCTCCTGCCAACCTAGCAGTTCGAAAGTGCAAGTAGATAAATAGGTACCTCTCCGGCAGGAAGGTAAACGGCGTTTCCGTGCGCTGCTCTGGTTCGCCAGAAGCGGCTTAGTCCTGCTGGCCACATGACCCGGAAGCTGTACGCCGGCTCCCTCGGCCAATAAAGCGAGATGAGCGCCGCAACCCCAGAGTTGGTCATGACTGGACCTAATGGTCAGGGGTCCCTTTACCTTTTACCTATTTTCATCAGAGGAATGCTGGAGGGTATGATATACCACCTAAATAACCACATCCTCTAAACTGGTCACAAATGATGAAGCAACTCTGGAATGCGGATCTGACTGCCCTTTCTCCCTCGGGTGCAGGACATGGCAGAAGAATCGTGTGCTCTCATCTGCCAGGTTTTCCAGATAATCTACGGGGACCAAACCATTGAGTGTGTGGACCGGGCTGGCTATCACTACACATCCACCATGAAGCGTCCTTGGCTGTCTAGCCGGAGTGAGTACATTTAGGGAAGCTTTTAATGTTTGATGCATTACTGTATTTTAATATTTTGTTGGAAGCCGCCCAGAGTGGCCGGGAAAGCCCAGCCAGATGGGCGGGGTATAAATAAATTATTATTATTATTATTATTACGCAACCGCCTTAGACAGAGTCAGCTCATTCATTTATTTATTTGAACAATTTATATACCGCTTAACTGCAAGCGTCTCTAAGCAAATTACAAAGTTGCAATGGTGAAAAAATCAGTTGAAACTATTCAGACAAATATAAATGCATGCTGGAATGAAGAACTTGAGTCAAGAGGGGACATGTCTGACCTCAACTGGAAAGGAGCTCCATAAAATTGGGTGCATGATACTTTTGCTTTGGCTTTCTTTGGCGATCCCTCGTAGCCAAGTAAGATTGTCTTCCATAAACACGGTTTTAACAGTGAGTCCGTAAGTGACTGTGGAGGCCAATTCTGGATCCACACGTCCTTCCACAGTGGGGACATTGGTTCCCGGGTGGGAGCTGATCACGGTGTGGATTTGCCAAGTGTGCCTTCCTCTTAGCACGTTTCTCCCTTGCGTCCTGAGTTCGAGTGACACCTTTGGTGAAGGCTGTTCTCCAATTGGAGCGCTTGCAGGCCAGTGTTTCCCAGTTGTCAGTGTTTATACTACATTTTTAAAGATTTGCCTTGAGACAGTCTTTCAACCTCTTTTGTTGACCACCAGCATTACGCTTTCCATTTTTAAGTTCGGAATAGAGTAGTTGCTTTGGAAGACGATAATCAGGCATCCGAAGAACATGACCAGTTCAGTGAAGTTGATGTTAAAGAATCAATACTACCCCAGTGTTGTCTGCTGTGATCAGCAGTGACTGAGCTGTTGTGCCCAAAACTAGGTATGGGTCTTCAGATGAGTAGAACAGTGCCATTGGTTCCGGAATATCATTGCAAGCAAACATTTTTTAGCATTGCAAACACCCTTTGGTTAGTGATTAAAAAAAACCTGGTGTAAATAGTTTTATGGGTGCCTTCCATATACTTTAGGCTATGACTTGCCTCATCCCTGACCACTGGGCTTGGCTGACTGTGGATAATGGGATTTGTAGTCCAAAAAATCTGCCAGGTTGGGCTGCCACTGGGCCACCTGGTGGTTGCAAAGGATGGAGGGTTGAGGTCTGACAGCGCAGAAACCTGTTTTCCTATACCCTGTTTAACCCCTTGTGCTGTCTGCTTCCAGGTGAGAGCTGTCGGACGGATGGGACGTATGGCTATGATGCTGATTTCAGCTGCTGTAGCTCTTTGTGAGTCCTGCCTCCCCCCACACTGGTAACAAGCGAGATGTCTGGATGGGGCTGATGGGAGTTGTAGTCCAAAATGGCTGCACCAACTGGGGCTGATGGGAGTTGACATGGGAACAGTACCTGGTTGTCGAAGGCTGACCTGATTTGTCATTTAATTGGTTTTGTTAACCAACTAAGCACCTTTTCATCTGCTAAAAAGGTACCCTATGGGATTCTTTAATAAATCATTTCTAAAACTAGTGCAGCTAAGATATCAGGTACCATTTGGGAGGGACGCGGGTGGTGCTGTGGGTTAAACCACAGAGCCTAGGACTTGCCAATCAGAAGGTCGGCGGTTCGAATCCCCACGACGGGGTGAGCTCCCATTGCTCGGTCCCAGCTCCTGCCAACCTAGCAGTTCGAAAGCACGTCAAAGTGCAAGTAGATAAATAGGTACCGCTCTGGCAGGAAGGTGAACAGCGTTTCCATGTGCTGCTCTGGTTTGCCAGAAGCGGCTTAGTCCTGCTAGCCACATGACCCGGATTACTTGCTCCCTCGGCCAAGAAAGCGAGATGAGCACCGCAACCCCAGAATCGGCCATGACTGGACCTAATGGTCAGGGGTCCCTTTACCTTTACCTGGTTATGGTAACCAATTAAGCACCTTTTCATCTGCTAAAAAGGTAAAGGAGTTGTAGTCCAGAATGGCTGCACTGGCAGTGGGGGCTGATGGGAGTTGTCTGCTCCGGCTGGGGACTGCTGGGAGTTGTAGTCCAGAATAGCTGCACTGGCAGTGGGGGCTGATGGGAGTCGTAGTCCACAATGGCTGTGCTGGCTGCAGGGGCTGATGGGAGTTGTAGTCCCAGGGCACAATGGGGAAGGCTGACCTAGTCCAACACCACGTCTGCAATTGGGGAGTGGGGAGGAGAAGGAGACCTTCTTGACAACATGAGACGGGAAGGGTTACTGATCCGCTTGCTTGCTTCCTTCCTCCCTCAGCGATGGTTCCCACGACACCTTTGAGGCCTGTTGCAGCGACACTTCGTCCCCCTCCTTCCATCAGTCCCATCACAGCCTGGCCACGGCCTGCAGTGGCAGCGACCAGAGCAACACTGGCCTGGAACAACTACAGGACTACATGATCACAGTGAGAGGGGTTTGCGGGTGTAGCCTGAGGGAGATGCACTTTGGGTGCCCTGAATCCACGAGCCTTGCAATCACTGGCTGCTTCTAAAACCTCCTCCTGGGAACTGTCCATTAGCGTTATTATTGCAAAAATTAAACTCACTACAAAACTATTTCACCTGTGGATGTAAACGTAGGCTGCATGATAGACGTTTATAGCACTGCATAGGCATGGAGCAAGAGTGCTTTTGGGGGGGACGCAGGGGTACACATACCCCTAAACATTTTGTGAATCTAAGTTTGGCCTCATTGAGGGGCAGTATTTCAATATGAGTAGGAAAATGAGAGTACCCCTAAACTTTTTTTTTAGAAAAAAAGCAGTGTGTGTGTGTGTATTACTAACTTTTCTGTTTTACAATTTACAATACTCATTTTACATCCTTAAGATATCAATGACTTCCTTTATTCTCTTTCCATGGTCCATTTTACATATCATAAATCCCTGCGTATTTTGCAAAAACTATACCAATCAGTATTCCATTATTGCATCCATCAAAACTTATTTACACTGTTTTCAGGTGTACACAATTATTTCCCCTATATACAATAAAAAATTTCCAAACGTTTCCCGAAAGAGGTGCAAGACGTCTGTTTTTACAGTTCCCTCCTTGCAAATGATAAATATTTGTCGTTTGGCGTGACTGTCCTGCCTCTTTGCCTCCCCCCACAGCTCAGGAACAAGCTGACGCCACAGGAGATCCAACAGTTTGCCTTCTTGCTGAGAGAATACCGGATGGGTCTGGCGGTGGAGGGATACTGTGCCGGCCTCCTCCAGCTCTACGGAGAAAAGCGGAAGTTCCTGCTGCTGGGTAAATGAAAAATCTCTGCTTTTGGTGGGGCAGAAGAGGGAAGAGATGGGAAAATCGCCACTGGGGGACGTCAAGTGACTTCCATATATCACTACTGGTAAAACCATGGCTTTAACTATACGGGCCTTTGTTGGCAAGGTGATCGGGTGATGTTTTGCCCTTTGGGGGATTGCGGGGACAGGCTCCTGGTGACCTGGTGGGCCAAGGAGCCTTCGCCCAATCTCCCTCGCACCTTTCTCTGTTCTGCCTCCGCAGGGATGCGCCCCTTCATCCCTGACCAGGACATCGGCTACTTTGAGAGCTTCCTGGAGAACATTGGCATCCGCGAAGGAGGGATCTTGACTGACAGCTTTGGGCGCATCAAGAAGAGCATGAGCAACACCTCAGCCTCTGCCGTGCGCAGCTACGACAGCTGGTCCTTGCGCTCGGAGTCGGAGTCCTTCAATCGCATGATCACGGACATCACCCACGACATCGAAGCCCTGGCGAGGGATGAGGATGAAGAGGAGGAAGACGGCGACGATGACAGCGGTGGCAATGATGATGATGAAGACAACTACCTGTGAGGAGGGGAGACCACCTGGGCCTGAAAGGCAGAAGGGAGCCAGGAACACTAAAAGCTCTCTAATTTGAAGTCAGACAATTGGTCCAGCTGGCTCAATATGGTCTATACTGACTGACAGCAGCTTTTTAGGGTGGGTCTCTCCCCACCCTATCTGGAGAGGCTGGGGATTGAATTTGGGTCTTTCTGCAATTAAAGCAGTGGCAGGGCAGCCAATCCTTATTTGAGCCTTCTACTCAATGAATGAGGGACGCAGGTGGCGCTGTGGATTAAATCACAGAGCCTAGGATTTGCCGATCAGAAGGTCGGCGGTTCGAATCCCCATGACGGGGTGAGCTCCCATTGCTCGGTCCCTGCTCCTGCCAACCTAGCAGTCAAAAGTACGTCAAAGTGCAAGTTGATAAATAGGTACCTCTCCAGCGGGAAGGTAAACGGCATTTCCATGCACTGCTCTGGTTCGCCAGAAGCGGCTTAGTCATGCTGGCCACATGACCCGGAAGCTGCACGCCGGCTCCCTCGGCCAATAAAGCGAGATGAGCGCCGCAAACCCAGAGTTGTCCGCGACTGGACCTAATGGTCAGGGGTCCCTTTACCTTTTTACTCAATTAATATCTGGATCCTGCACACCCTCCAAATGTCCCTATTTGCCAGGGACAGTCCCGGATTTACAGAAGCCATCCTGGTTTCTGATTTGATCCCAGAATGTCCTGCTTAGCCTTAGGATGTCCCTATTTTCATCAGAGAAATGGAAATAAGTACCAAACCAAAGAGATAAGTCACTATGCAGCCTTTAGAAGACATTTGAAGGCAGCCCTGTATAGGGAAATTTTTTAATGTTTTATGTTTTTATATATGTTGGAAGCCTCACAGAGTGGCTGGGGCAGCCCAGTGTGATGGACAGGGTATAAATATTGTTGTTGTTGTTGAATAAGACATCCCTATTTTCATCGGAGAAATGTTGGAGGGCATGGATCCTGGCGAGCAAAGGTGAGCCACGCCTTTCTCTCCCCACCTGCTCCCCAGTTGCGAAACTGATCTGCGTTGGAACATGCATGTTCAGAGGCAGTCTACCATTCAATATCATTTGCTGAGCGGTGGGGTTGGGAGAAGCCTGTGGAGCTCATGTCCTGCCTTTGAATATCCTAGAAGGATCTGGTTGTGCAATGCGAGAAGCAGGATGCTGGACTAGATGGACATCTGGCCTGATCCACCAGAGATCATAGAATTGTAGAGTTGGGACCCGAGGGTCATCTAGTCCAACCCCCTGCAATGCAGGAATTCTGCCTATGTTCTTGCACCTGTCCCACCCCATGGCTTGCTCTCTGCAGCTCGAGTTCGTCCTACTGGTCTGCTAGGTTCAGGAGAGTCCCCTTCGGATGGACTTCCGATGTCTTGTCTTGTGAAGTTGGTCAAGCGCCAAGCAATTTTTAATAGAGCAAGACTGCCCTCTGCTGGTCTCTTGCAGAACGTATGCAGTGAGCTTATACCATGATAACCAAGACAGGTATCACATTGCACCATCGTTTGCAAGTTCTCTTTCGAGACTCAAGCTTTTACAATCGGTGCAACGGCAGGGTTTTTATTTTGTTTTTGAAATGAGGTTACAACCTCTTTTAGGAATTGCAATATTTATTTGTTTTCATACTAACAGAAGCTTTTCTGGGCTGGTTTCCAGCCCTGTGCAATGGCCCTCCCACAATAAAATCATTAAAAACTTAGGCAGAACCCAACACTTCTGCAAGTGGACCTCCACTCATGCAATGGGACTTCCTCCATTCTATCCTTCCCCATTGCCCTACCTCTAACGCAGAGAGGGGAAACTGGGGGTCCCTGAAACATTGCTACACTCCAAATCCCATCGTCCCTGCCCACTGGGCCGTTCTGGCAGGGGCAGATGGGAGATGGAGTGCGACAACATCTGGAACCCCCTGGGCTCACCATTCCTGAGGTTTCTGCAATGGCTGCTTTGCAGCTCTGCGGACAGTCCTTGGTTCAGCAAGAGAGTCCAGAGTTCTTTGATCTTGGATCTCCTGGCATTGTTGGACTACATCTCCCATCATCCCAAACCAGCTAGTTGGGGGGGGTGGGAGTCGTAGTAGCGCAGCGAAACCTGGGGACCAAAGGTTTTCTCTGACCTGCAGCAAAGCAGAGCAAGGGTCAGTATGAGTCCGTTTGGCGGTGCTTTGAGAAACCACGAGAGGGTGCTGTCCTCTCTTCGTAACGCCCTTCCCTTTTAAGGTTTGCATAAGGCAGAATGGTTTGCCCCTTGCGGAGCTACAATTCCCAGCACCCTTAGCAAACTACAACTCCCAGGATTTTTTTGCTGGGTAAGTCATGTTCTTTCAGTGAGTGGCTTGTGTGCTACCTGTGTTTCTTGACTCAGCAGTGGCCCTTACAACTCGTGGAAATCATTCCCGTAAGGTGTTTTCCACATCAAAGTCTGTCCCAGGAAAATGTGACGGGCAGAAGAAAAGCCCTGCGGCTGGATCAGGCCCAAGGGGGTCCACCTTGTCCAGCACGGATGCTGGAGGAAACCATGAGCTCTGATGGCTAAGTACTTTCCCTCTGTCTCCTTCTTCCTCAATTCTTGGTTGACTGAGCAGCAAAAGAAAGATTCGTGGGTTGCATCAAAGTGTAAACATGGAGCAATTTGCATTTCAGAAAAGGAAGTTCCTCCTCTTGCAATTTCCGAGAAGAAGCCCAGGCCTCCTGCCAGCTGGGTGGGGCTAAGGTTGCTTCTCGTTTGGTACCTGCTGGCCCCGCAGATGCCCCTGACCAGGCTGGAGGGTGAGTCACCAGAAGGACGCGGTTGTGACATCATTCCGGAATCTGCACCAACTTCCTCTCACCATTTCGGGCAAAGCTTTGCATTTTTGCAACGTGGTAAAAACCACGCTTTGCAGGGAAACTCCGTAGAAATGCTTAACAAAATATTAGTAAAAGTCCCAGGTCTTGAACTCTAATTCCATTGGATCACCACCCCACTGTCCACTCCCCTGACAAAAGTCATAAATCCCCCTTTTAAATCTATATTGTTAAAAAATGCCTGAATCGCTCAGGCAGTAGAGCTATTAATCTAAAAGTCGTGGGTTCAAGCCCCACGTCAGGTGAAAGGATCCTACGTTGCAGAGCAATCACTCTGTGATTCTATGAAATCCTAGGTTAAACTGGTCTGGCTAAGCCTAGCCTGGCAGATCTCCTTTGTGAGTCGATCCCTGGCTTTTTGAGTGTTTTGGGGTAGCTAAGAGACCATTCATCCACACTGATTCCCATACGAAGGCATTTGTAAATCCCAGTGTCTTTGGAAAAGAATTGCAGACCAGCAGTTTTGAGTCAGAAATTGAGGGCCAGGATATAGCTGAGTTCTTGAGCTCTGCAAGCAGAGTTGGAGGTGCTGGCTGGTCCTGTCAAGCAGGGATGGGAAGCTTGCTTGCCTCCATCAGATGTTGCTGGACTCCAGCTCCCACAAACCCCAGCTTGCATGGCCAATAGTCAGGAAAGATGGGAGTTGTAGTCCTGCAGCCCCTGCCCTAGAAGACCTGATGTCAGACCAGTGGACTTCAGGTGTCTGTTGAGTTCTTTGGCCGTGTTCCTCCAACTACACTCAACCTGTTAGAATTCCTGTGCCGTTATTGCAGTCATGGGACTGTTGTCTATCACATGACGGTGTATGTTTTGATTCCACAGAGTCGGAAGTGACGGAGACAGGATGTTTGTGTTCCTGTGTTCCGTGAAGTGGAACTATTGTCCTTTGTTCTTTTTCTCTTTGCTGTCTGATGCTAGAGAGACAGGGAGCCATGTTGCAGTGCTCCGTGTGTGTTTATATGTAAATAAAGTAGATTAGCCAAAATGCTGAGTTGATGAGGTCTGTTACGCAAACTGCGAAGACTCTGCGGATCCCTAAGTGTGCCGATGTCGGTTGGCATCGGTCGCTGTGATGTTTGGGCTGAAGAAAGCTTTTGAAGCTCCCGAACGATCGACCAGGAGGGAGAGAACATGCCAATAGGGCATGTGTCTCTGCCAGGGTCCTACTCGAGTGTAGGACGAGCTCCTGACACAACCTGTGTGCTTGTAAATTAAAGGCAATGTTGCAAGCAAAACACCAGTAAGCCTCCAGTGACCTCCTCCCCAAAAAAGTTGGGTGAGCGATGCACTCCTGTAACTTTTCACAGAAGAAGTGGGCCGTGCAAAACGGCACGCTAGGTCGATGGTACAGGTGGGTGTAGCGTTCAGTGAAGAGAGAAAAATCCACCACCTCATTTTCTGCAGAAGAGCAAAGACTTTCTGTTTAAACCTTGCATTCAGAGCCTTTGCTAGTTCCTTCTTTTAAACAGAAGAAGGTGTGGGTACATGTGGGGGTGTGTATTTATATAAGTAGTCCATGAAAATAATAACCAGATTTCAGCAAGAAGGGCTAGACAGGGCTTCTCTCGCAGTGGGGAAGGGGACATGGTTTGCATGGCACCAACCTCAGCTGAGTTCTTGCAGGGAACTGATGATGATGATGATCATCATTATTTATTATTTATACCCCACCCATCTGGCTGGGTTTCCCCAGCCACTCTGGGTGGCTTCCAACAAAATATTAAAATACAATAGTCTGTCAAACATTAAAAGCTTTCTAAACAGGGCTGCCTTCAGATGTCTTCTAAAAGTCTGGTAGTTGTTGTTCTCTTTGACATCTGGTGGGAGGGCGTTCCACAGGGCAGGTGCCACCACCGAGAAGGCCCTCTGCCTGGTTCCCTGTAACTTGGCTTCTTGCAGTGAGGGAACCGCCAGAAGGCCCTTGGCGCTGGACCTCAGTGTCCGGGCAGAACAGTGGAGGTGGAGACTGAACCGATGGCCTCCTCTCGTTGGATTGCAGGCAGGAAGGTGTCAGGCACACGGGATGGGGAAGAAATCTGGCTCACTTCACATTTAAAGGCAAACTAACCTCGTTCACACTTTCTGAAACAATATGCAAACCAGTGCAAACCCTTCAAAATGCACACTTCTCTAGGTTTTGCAGCACAGCTCTCCAACAAAGTTGAGCTGAGTTAACCTCTGTCTGCCTTCGGAGACAATCGAGTGCACCTTCTGGCATGAAGTCAAACCGCTGTGTTAGCAGCACCAAAGCAACATCCCCAGGGCATGAACACAACACCAAGCCAAACCCCATGTGAAAGGTTACTTCTTTGGTGATCACTTGTAGCCAAGTAAGATTGTCTCCCATGAACACGGTCTTAACAGTGGCTGTGGAGGCCATTTCTGGATCCACACATCCTTCCACAGTGGAGACATTGGTTTCCAGGTGGGAGTTGATCATGGTGAGGGCTTGCCAAGTGTGCCTTCCTCTTAGCACGTTTCTCCCTTGTGTCCTAAGTTCGAGCATCTTCAAAACCCATGACACCTTTGGTAAAGGCTGTTCTCCAATTGGAGCACTCACAGGCCAGTGTTTCCCAATCGTCGGTGTTTATACGACAATTTTTAATATTTGCCCTGAAAGAGTCTTTGAACCTCTTTTGTTGACCACCAGCATTACGCTTTCCATTTTTAAGTTTGGAATAGAGTAATTGCTTTGGAAAGGTGATAATCAGGCATCCACACAACATGACTAGTCCAACGAAGTTGACGTTGAAGAATCATTGCTTCAACACTGGTGATCTTTGCTTCTTCCAGTACACTGACATTAGTTCGCCTGTCTTCCCAAGTGATATGTAAACATTTTTTAAGACACCAGTGATGGAAACTTTTGGGAATTGGAGCTGACATTTAAAAGTGGTCCATGTTTCACAAAGGTTACTACCACTTAAGAGCTATGCCTTGCCGATAAGGGTCCATATAGTTAAAGCTATGGTTTTCCCAGTAGTGATGTATGGAAGTGAGAGCTGGACCATAAAGAAGGCTGATTGCCAAAGAATGGATGCTTTTGAATTATGGTGCTGGAGAAGACTCTTGAGAGTCCCATGGGCCGCAAGAAGATCAAACCTATCCATTCTGAAGGAAATCAGCCCTGAGTGCTCACGGGAAGGACAGATCCTGAAGCCGAGGCTCCAAGACTTTGGCCACCTCATGAGAAGAGAAGACTCCCTGGGAAAGACCCTGATGTTGGGAAAGATGGAGGGCACAAGGAGAAGGGGACGAGAGAGGACGAGATGGTTGGACAGTGTTCTCAAAGCTACTAGCATGAGTTTGACCAAACTGCGGGAGGCAGTGGAAGACAGGAGTGCCTGGCGTGCTCTGGTCCAGGGGGTCACGAAGAGTCGGACACGACTAAACGACTAAACAACAACAACAAGAGCTATGCAATGTTTGCAGGTTGAAGAGAATTGGACAACATTCCAAAACTGCTAATAAAAATATGGCCCTGAGTTTGCCCCACGGCATAATTGAGATGAGATTGAGTAGAGTTGATTTAATATTTGCATTCCTCTTTCCCAAGTGGCTGACAAGAACCCTAGAATTGTAGAGTTGGAAGAACACTGCGATCACTGTAATATCAAACACAATATCATATAAAGCAGACAACAACAACAACACCTTCATCAACACAATCAGTACAATTCAATAAAGTCAAAGTAACTGATAGTATTGCCAGGATACCTCCCCCAGAACAACAAAGAAGTGGACTAGCTGTTGGTTATCAGACGCATTCACTGTACATGAATTATAGACACTTACAAAGAATCATGGGGATGCGGGTGGTGCTGTGGTTTAAACCACAGAGCCCAGGACTTGACGATCAGAAGGTCGGCGGTTCGAATTCCCGTGACGGGGTGAGCTCCCGTTGCTCAGTCCCTGCTCCTGCCCACCTAGCAGTTTGAAAGCACGTCAAAGTGCAAGTAGATAAATAGGTATCGCTCTGGCAGGAAGGTAAACGGCGTTTTCATGCGCTGCTCTGGTTTGCCAGAAGCGGCTTAGTCATGCCGGCCACATGACCCGGAAGCTGTACGCCGGCTCCCTCGGCCAATAAAGCGAGATGAACGCCGCAACCCCAGAGTCGGCCACGACTGGACCTAATGGTCAGGGGTCCCTTTAGCTTTACCTTTCTACAAAGAACTATAGATTTAAAGAAACATTTCAGGTGGGGGGGGGGCAAATTCATTGAATCCATGGAGGCTTGTCAGCTTCAGATGTGTTTGTAGGGAAAGGATTACAGTATTCTGGACCTATTTCAGCCTGGTTTGCCCATGTAGCAACATGGTAGAGATCTCAAGGAAGCACCACATGGACTGAGCTTTCACTGAGAAACCTTGAACCAGTTGCAATTTGTGAAGGTAAAATGGGTCAGGGTGGAGAATTGTGTGTGCTACTCAGAGGAAAAGAGGAATATAAATTATAAATTTATAAATTATAAATTGACGTAGAAGTCCAAGTCAGTTTCTTAACCTTTTGCAATGCCAGGAGCCTCAGCTCCGTTATCTGAAGTAATAATCAAGTGAGCACCTCTGAGCATGTGTGAAATGCCTTTCCCTCACCTCCAAGCAGCCACAAACAATTGTGTGTGATTTGCAGACAGCCTCTTGAGCGACTTCCCTTCTAGGAATCGAGAGGATGACTCTGGTCCAACTGGATTGGCTCTCAATTTTTAAGATAAACTCAAGAGCTAAAGGCAGCCCTGTTTAGGGAAGCTTTTAATGTTTGATATTTTATTGTTCTGTTAATAATCTGTTGGGAGTTGGACTGGATGATCTCTGGGGGTCCCTTCCAACTCTACCATTCTACGATTGTAAAGAAAAATACTTGTGGCCAGTGGGCAGTTACTTCACATCAGTGAAGTGGCACAGTTTGTGTTGGGAACCTTCTTCAGCGTCGTAATCAGGGCAGTGACCACACAGAGGCGTGGAGGGACTGAGAAAATAACAAAATTGGAGAAGTGCCTTCTTTTTCATGCCAGTGCCTTGTCAAGAGGGGAAAATGACTCATGGTGCTCTCAGACGATGACCCCCATACCGTCCTGTTATGAAGTGTGGGAACTTGAAATAATAGAATCCCAAACTCATCTCTTACATAGTGCCCCTTACCTGTTTATTCAAAATTCAATTTACACCATACCCTCCAACATTTCTCTGATGAAAATAGGGGCATCCTATTCAAAATAACAACAACAACAACAACAACAACAACAACAACAACAACAACAACAACAACCCATCCATCTGACGGGGTTTCCCCAGCCACTCTGGGCAGCTTCCAACATATATGAAAACATAACATCAAACATTAAACATTAAAAACTTCCCTATACAGGGCTACCTTCTAAGATGTCTTCTAAAGTTTGCATGGTTACTTATCTCCTTGGTTCACGGGTCACATAACTCCATACCTTCCAACATATCTCTGATTTAGTGCTAAAGAGGGACACGGGTGGCGCTGTGGGTTAAACCACAGAGCCTAGGGCTTGCCGATCAGAAGGTCGGTGGTTCGAATCCCCGCGACAAGGTGAGCTCCCGTTGCTCGGTCCCTGCTCCTGCCAACCCAGCAGTTCGAAAGCACATCAAAGTGCAAATAGATAAATATGTACTGCTCCGGCGGGAAGGTAAACGGCGTTTTTGTGCTCTGCTCTGTTTCGCCAGAAGCAGCTTAGTCCTGCTGGCCACATGACCCGGAAGCTGTACGCAGGCTCCCTCGGCCAATAAAGCGAGAGGAGCGCCGAAACCCCAGAGTCGGCCACGACTGGACCTAATGGTCAGGGGTCCCTTTACCTTTTTAAGGAAAAGAGGGACATTCCATGATCAAATCAGAAAATGGGAAGACTTATGTAAATCTGGAGCTGACCCTGGAAAATAGGGGCACTTGGAAGCAGGACTGTCTTACCCATAGGTGCTAGGGGTGTGGGGCACCCAGGCACCAGGCTTTCAGGGGCACCAAGCCGAGAGTCTGGGGCCGAGATTTGGAGTCCAGGTATTGGGAAGAGCCGACAGCTGCTGCCAAGCAAAGTAGAGCCCTCTGAGCGCTGCAGCTCTTCTGCTGCAAGCGAGCGAGGCGCTGAGGCAGCCGGCCAGCTCTGCCCTCCTGCGCACCTGGGATTGGCAGGCTGTCGAAAGGCCTACCCAGTTTAAGACAGCCCTGCTGGGAGGGTCCGTTTAAACTACTTAGTTTGATTAATTCAACAATGTTAACGAACTTCATCCAGGGATGCCAGCTTTTCAGAGATTGATTGTGGTTTACACCTCCAGCAGCCCTTGAAACTCTCTTACCTCTTTGCCCCCCCTAGGAATTCTTAGCCCCCCATAGCTATGAATATATATCCTTTGGGCCACAGCAGCGAGGCTGAGGGGGGGAGGTCTTGTCGTCTTGGCAGCCCAGGAGCTCCAGACACCCTGCCCAGGCTTGCACCCGGGGAGATCACGTCGGTGCAGCAAACACCCCCAGAGGTGCACTCTATTATCTCTTGA